AGTAATCAGTTCCAGAGCACTTCTCTCAAACACAGCAGAATTTTATCAAAATACAATTATAATAGTCAGCAATTAGTGCCTACATCACCTATGCTATTGCCTATGGGGTCAGGAGGGAGCATCTCCGCTTGGCAGGGAGTCAGAGCACGTTTCAGCCCTTTGGATGATGTTGAAGACCTGTGTTAGCCCATGGACTGCACTCTTCCCTGCTGCCCAGCGCCTGCGCGCAAACAAAGTCACTTGGCTGCAATGGTCAGGGCTGGGATCAATAATATGCCAACAAACAAGCCCTTCATTTCATCATTGTCTCACCAGATATTTTGAAAAAAAAAAATCAGACCCCAAACAGAAAAATATCAAAGTGATTTTCATCTGGTCACAAAGAACTCTTTTAACTCATCTGAGACTAGTCTTCTTTCAAAAATCTTATAAACTGAATTATGTGGGAAAGTTTTTAATTTCCATTCATTCTCAATGAGCGACATGTTGAAAGCAGCACCGATAGATTCAGCTGGGAGCTGGCAGTGCCCAGTAGCACACAGCACACAGGAGGAACCTTTCCAGCTTCCTCCAATTGGTGATCGCAGAGGGTTTTAACATTAATTATGGCCCAAAAGATCACCCTGAAGCACAGCAGTATTAATGGCTCAGCTCTTTTTCTTTTTATCAATGGTTAACAGAGACATATGGGATGAAGCATGGTTTGCTTCATGGGGATGAATGGTTTGCAAACGCAGAAGATTATGGCTTCCAACCTCATTCTCAAACCACTTGATCATCCATCTTTTCTGTGGTAAAACACATTTACAGCCAGCTAATTGCACAGCACAGAGTGCTGAGTCTTGTTTTCTTTTATTTAAAGAAACAGACAATTAAAAGAGTGTGAAGTCAGTATAAACCCCACATCCTTCCCTTTTTGGTCACAAAATGATAGCACGTATAAGGCACATCCATCCATCTAACACCTGAGAAACTTTTAAGTCTAATACCTGTCAGTGGACTGCTTTGAGTGCAAGGAAAAGTTCCCATCCGCCTTAGAATTTTTGTTTAAGGAATTTGGTTTTGATGGGGAAAAAGTGCAAAAAACCGGAACCATTATAAAATTTTACGGGAGTTTCACTAGCGATCTTTCATCTTTTTCAGCGACGTTTAGATATTAATTGCTTTATTTCCCTTCCCTAGCACACCCGAGCCTGCAGGAGCAGCCATCAGCGGCAGACTGCTCCCCCAGGGACCCTGCTCTTCCCCAGAGGCAGTTCAATGTGTGTCTATCGTGACATTGCCCATCAGCCCAGGGCAAAGAGCAGCACAGGGGCAACCACAGCGGGTTCCTACCTACCGCTTCCTGGAGAAACCTCTGGCAGACATCGATGTGGTTGCACCCGAATAAACAAACCCCAGTCTGGCCCTTTGGATAATGAGGCTAAAGAAGAATGAGGCCAAAGAGAGGCTTGGAGTATTTTGCCTAAAGGAGATCTGGTGTAAAGTCACGGCTAGAAATCAAAAGGTCCAAGACTCAACGAGAAATCACCTCAGACAACCAGTAATGCCATATGGTAGCTAATATCTAGAACAGAGTCTTTCATAACCTAGAGGCGTTTTGTTTAGCAATAAACTTCCCCTGATATGCTTGCTCATGTTCTCCCTGCATTTTCCAAAGGTGCTTGTGGTTACCTGCTACTGTCTCACGTCCAAGCCTCTTGTTCACCAGCACTCTTAGCAAAATCACATACGAACCCTGCCTTTACCGAAATACTAAGATATTTTTTTTCCCAAAGGGGTTCCAAAGAGTGTTTCACCACTGGAAGCACATCAAGTCTTGGCAGCAATCTGCCCATCCACAATCGTGAACGCAGCCACCTCTGTGGCGAAGCACAGCAGTTATGGGCTGTCACATAAAGTAACGCTGCCCGAATGTTTACTACTATATGCAAACCCACTGGGACCTGCAGGAACTTTCAGAGCGATAGAAAGCAATTAATATGCGGCCTCACGAAATGTCAACAACACCTTCCCATAGATACTCCACCCAAAGCTGGCTAAAGCCTGGATTTTATCACTAGGCTCAAGATACTTCTTGGGGGAGGAAGAGAAAGCAGGGGGCTTAAGCTTCAGTTCCTGGAATCAAGTGAATGTGGAAGATTCTCAATTGCATTAAAAAAAAAAAACAAACAAGGAAAGAAAACACAAAACAACTCAGAACAATATGTTTCTAGCTTTTTTCAACTCA